TCTCATTTTATTTTAATTTTATAAAAAATGTGCGTGTACCTACACACTTAAAATACAGATATACATAAATTATACTAAAATTTGTCCAATGTTAATAGTTCAATTTAAATCTTAATATCAAAATTTTTATTTATTCATTAACATTTTTTCTAAGAATTTTGGCTAAAATAAGATTTTCCAGTGTCTATTTGGGCCAGCTCAATAGTTTTAAATAATTTTTTCAAAACAATTGCACTGAGTACCTATTTTTAAAGTGCATATGCGCCGTGTTGCTGTTGCACGGATAAGCATTGATACTAAACCCATAGAAATGTGAACAAATTCGCATTTATGATTAAAATATCTATAAAATGTCTGATAATTTATTGTGCATGTGTCTAATGATTTTTTTTGACCGCCAAATGTCATTTTTTCAACTTTGTTTTACTTGATCACTGGAACCACTAGACCTGCCTTCCCAAAAATGCAACTAGTTTTTCATTCATTCTTCATTTCATCTTCATTTTATAAATACAAATAAAATGTTTCTTATTGAAATCGGACGCTCCGTTTTCTCAAAAACTGAAATACAAAATTTTTAGAAATATTAAAAATATTTCATGCATATTTTTTGCTAATTAATATAAAACACTACCTTTATGATAATTTTGCTTAAATTTATAATATTATTTATATAGCACACAGATATTGATATTTTGCACAATAATTGCAAAACACAAAAAATCACTTATTATTTGTAAAATAAAGGAAATAAGGGTAGAAATTATAAATGAGGATTCCCTCTTCCAACTAATCTCCAGAAAACAAATTTACAATATCCTGTATACATTCATTAGAATTAAGTATTTAAAATATACTATATAAAGTAAGTGTCAATGTATAATTAGAAAATGCCCAATGTACCAGATTACAACGTCAATAAACAATAAAAAACAAACTTATTAAATCTAACACCATCTAAAAATAAAATCGATTATTTTAATGCGTTGTTTTTTTCGTTTGATTTGACAAATTTTTAAAAAAAGATATATATGTGTGTGTGTATGTATGTTTGGATACAATTTTTGTCGACGATTTCGGGCGCATATATCAACCGATTTAAATAACTAAAAAAAATATTCGATTCCTAATGACGGGGAGACATCCTGATTTGTCGTAGTTTTTGGCTACGACAGGTCCAGCCGTTTTGAAGATACGGGGTAAAAAGTGACAAAATTGGTAATTTTGTTTTTGAAGGATTTGATGATTCAAAAACGTTTTATTTGTATTGACGAAATAAAATTTAAATGAAGAATTGATTAAATTTTTTGGTAGGCAGGTCTAGCGGTTTCGGAGAAACAGAGAAAAATGTGCGAAAAAAATGATATTTGGCAGTCTGAAATGATCATTAGACATATGCACAACAAATTGAGATATTTTATAAATATTTTAATAATAACAAATTTTGCTACAATTTTTTTTGGGTTCCGTACCAAGATTTATAATTTTTAAAGTTCACTTACAGTATGAGTATAGTATAATCTTATACAACTCAAACAATTTTCAAAATCATAAGAATTTTTTTTTCAAAATTTCAAAAAATATACAATAATTATACTTGAAATACATATTCATATATATTTTTTATTCTTTCCATATTATATAAAAATCAGAGTTATTGACAGACCCTACGTTAAATAGCTAAATTACACATAACAATAAAGAAACAAATTATAGTAATTGCTCCAATGACAAATTTACTATGGAAAACTATTTTATACTTTAAATATAAATTTACATTTCAGTTTAAAAATGTATATATTTCATATGCGTTATTATAATCGTAACAAATATATCTTTAGTTAGATTCATTCAGCAACTCTTGTTAATGTAAACATTTTCAAGTGTTTTGAGCGATGATCTAGTCACTGTGTATTATATGAACGAATACATATATAGTAACTATGACTTTGAAAATATTTAAAACAACTGTTATTAATTATTATATTTTCTGCTCGAATATTTAATTCTTATAAGTTTCAGCAAATTACTTTAAAGCACGATGCCACGCACCACTAGTTCTTATAAATATTAGACAATGTTACATTATTTATAATAATCTAATTTGTTTGAAAACATTTGATATACCTGGAACATTTCGTTGCGGTACGGAAAGTTCCAGCAATTTTCCTTAAGGCACGATGCCGCACACAACTAGTTTATATGGTACTTATATATTGATATTTTGCACAATAATTGCGAAACACCACAAATAATGTATTAAATAGAGGAACTATTTAATATAACTCTTCCAACTAATATCCAAAAAATAAATTTACAAGCCCTGTATACATTCATTAGAAATAATAAAATAAGTAAAATATTATATGAAACAAGTGTCAATGTATAATTAGAGAATGCCCAATGTACCAGATTACAAGGTCAATAAATAATAAAAAACAAACTTCCTAAATCATCTAATATTATCTAAAATCCACATTATCCTAAAATAAAATCGATAATTTAAATGCGATTGTTTTTTTTCGATTAAATTTCTGGATCATTCCATTTTGCCATATAAACAAATTCCTATTTACATATTATATTTGTACAGTATCGGCTTACTGTGTGTGCGTTAATTATTTACATTAATGAAAATATTTTGAGGATTTATTATTTTGATAAAAAATCGAAAATCCATGCATTTTTCAATTTATTTATTAAATACGTACGAAAACATTCATTTTCATCCATTCTGGATCAGTCCATTGTGTACGGCATAAATAAATTTCTATATGTGCATAATCGTTAATCACTTACTTTGATAGAAATAATTTAAGCACTTTTCTTTTATCTATGAATTTAACAATTTATTATTTGAATAAATTATTAGTAGTACAAGCATTATATTTTCAATTTATTTATTAAATTACATTAAAAAAAATAGTTCTGTGAGTTCTGGATCAGTCCATTTTGCCCAATAGAAATGTTCCGATCTATCTATAATATCGGCTTAATCAAA